TTTTGGGTGGCTTGGGCCCACCTAGGCTTGTGGCGTGATTAGGTGCGGAATGATAATTCCTTGCTTAGCGTGGCATGTCGTTTGGCGTGGCATGTGTGCAAAGCGTATATGACGAACTTTCGCATGCCTAAATCGGGTTTCTTCTTGATAAGGTATCGTATTGGGCCGATAATTTATTTGGGCCGAAGCGTGAATTTTTTTGGGCCTCAACAGGTATTTAGATGTACGACTTACTTTTCTAGTGTTACCTGTTTGTTTATTTGTTACCCTTTTAATGATTTTTTGGGGTTTACTGGTGAGATTGGGTATTAGGGCCAATTGAAGAAGGGGTTTACTGGTGAGATTGGGTCTTTGCCGTCATCTTTTCTGGTTAACGGTAATTCAAGCCGTGTCTTCCACTAAAGACAGACCAATAATGATGGCTTCAAAGGAATTCTTTTCCTCAGGTAATACATACCATTATTCAGTATATATGAAGGAAATAATTTAAATTTCTATTACTGAAATAAACAGAATTTTAGCTAACAAATGCTAATTTAGGCATTAACCAAAGTGAGAAGACGGTGAAGCAAGATAGAACAAACAGAAACCACATGATCAAGATCCCAAACCTTCCACAACCAATGGCTAATATACTGGAAACGAAATTTAACTTTACATTCATCAGTTTGTGCAGCAACACACTGAACCATGATAATTATATATAGTAAACGAGGAACATTAATTCAATATCCTTAACAAAAACAAAAAATAGCAATATCAATTGTGTACAAAAGATAACAGCCAATAAGGGCCTAGATGGCAGTAAAATGCCTCAATAATATCTATTGTCAAAGACTTTGCCCTGCTCTGCTCCTCAGGTACTTACATCACAGCTTGTTTTCTACTACCTGTAATCCCTCCTTTCAAAAGCATTTTCTTTTTGTCTTTTTGTCTTTTGTTTTCAATTATTCCGTTTGCGTCCTTGTGATTATTCTGGCTGGCTTTTTCATGCTGCATGAAGGCTATTTCATGTTTGACTTCTTTCTGCAAAACCCAATTATATTACGTGAGAAACTAGACCCGGAGGCTAATAAAAACACTTATAGACATGCAAACAATTGAGTCTCTTGATTCATGGTCATTAAAGAAAAATAAAAATAAAAAGATTTCATGTAAACACATCTTTTACCTCGTGAATCAAAGAATTCTCATCCAAAGTGGTTTCATCTTCTTGTTTTGGCTGCTTCACGCTTGCTGCACTCTTCCCTTCTACGGGTTCATAATCCCTGCACTCTCTGGGAGCCATAATCATCGTAAAAAACAAAATCTAACATACAAATTAATGTTATTGATGAGAACACAAGAAATGTGAAGAAAACTTACGGAGTAAAGCCGAACGTAAGCAAGAACCAATTACAATCCTCGATTTTCACAGGAAGAACAATTGAATGTAAGGTCTCGATCATATGTCTTCTTCCTTCTTGAACAATTTGAAACGTGGTGATACAAAGATGTTGAACGTCATCACATTCTTCGTTAGTGGCAGTCTTAACATGAACAAAGTCTTGGTTCCCCAGATGAACCAAATAGTCAGTCACAAGTTCATCAAATTCCAATGGCGGATCCGCAATCTCAAGGCCGTTCAATTTACATAGCTGGACTAGTGAATATGCAATATCACCGTCATCATCTTCTTTCATCTCCAAGGAGTATGCTATGATCGCCTCTGTCTGAAACATATGTAAGGCATAGATAGTCTTGCCTACAATCATGGCCCTCCCTCGGAAAGGAATACAAGTGCCAATTTCCACTCGTTTCCAATTCTGTCTACCCACATGAAAAGCAACGACATCAAAGTTTCCGTGCAAGTCAGACAATATAAACAAAATAATGCCATAACCAACTGCATAACCAATTACCCCCATAGTAAATGTATGAGAAAATGGAAACCGAGGCATTTGCACCCAATCTTTCTTATCATGGTTATATTTCCCGAAGTATAAGGCTGAACCTTCTACGAATTCCGTTTTGGCTTCAAGAAAATAAAGTGTGCCATATGCCGACACAACTGTTCCATGCTGCTTAAACTGTACGATAGAAGGTGTTAAGCGATCTAATGCCCTAGTTTTCGTATCAAAGATATACCCTCCAAATGACCTAACGCAAGGTTTATCCCAACCCTCCTCTGAAAACACATACAGTTGAGAGCGGTCAAAAATCCTTGCACCCAAATAGGAAGAAGAACTGAACGTGGCTACTGGTTCAAGTGGTCCTCCTCCGCCCATATCTTCAACTTCTCCTCCAAATTTGAATTTAACTTCATATACGGCAGCAGTGTTGCCCCCTGTGAAAGTTACCATTAAAAACAAAGATCTATCTTCCCCTTGATTTACTGTCGTTGATGCATTCTCTACCATGGGCAAGCTGGACACAGAAGAGAGATATACAAAACAAGTCAAGTTAATCTTTCCAGACAACTTCCAGACCCAGAGAGAATTAATGAATGAAGCCAAAGCTACACAATCTACATAGCAGGTAAACATTTTATATTATATAATATATAAAACAAAAAAACAGCGATGCAAATGGGAAACAAAAATTAAGAAGATGAAATCCACTAGTAAGCCATGCACTGACCTTGGGTAAGTACGAACGGCCCCATGTTTGCGACTGAAGGGGCGTAGCAGGCCAAGCTCCTCCGATATTAATTTCTTCAGCGCAGCCAGAGATTTCTCCATCTCCGATATCTTGCCCAGTTCGCCCAACGATTTCTCCATCTCCCATATCTGTCCCAGTTCGCTCAGAGAGTTCTCCATCTCCGATATCTTGGGCAGAGATTTCTGGATCTTCGATATCTTACCCAGGAGCTCATCCTGGCGTGATGCCATCGTCAAGGCATGGTCTTGACTGGAGGTGAAGTTAACGGCAGCGGCCATAATATTGGAATGCTAAATTGAGGCAAAGGGAATTTAGGGTTTGGGGATGCCGCGGCAGACGGGAGTTTTATTCAAGATATGAATTTGCCTTCATTCATCCGTGAAGTGATGTATTTATATAACGTCGTAATTAATCTTGAAGTGATGAAAACTTATAGTTGTTTTGAATATGCGTATGGTATATATATGTACGACTTACTTTTCTAATTTAGTAGGTGTAGGTGTATTGACCGCTTTATTCTATTTACTTTCCCGTTTAAAAGTTGCTGGAGAAGATGCAATGTGTTTTATTAACTGCTTGTTTGTTTCTATCTTTTCTTGCAGATTATTTTCATTGCTGAGAATTCTTATCGGTAAAATGGATGACCAGAGAGAATTATCTGACTATGTTCGAAAGTTGCATCATGAAAATAATTCAAAGCACAAGGTCATTGGTTCTAGGCTTTGTTATTACAGTTTCAAGTTTAATCATAGAATTTCTGAAGAATTGTATGAGGGGCATTTGCATTTATCTTTTGATCCTCACGGGCCACCGATAAATGTGGTGTTTGTAAAAGTTGCTCAAGAAGATGCAGAAACAATATTTCAAAGGACTGCTGCAGCTAATGATGGTGTTGTTTTACGGCCGTGGACGTATTTGTTCTCCAAACAAAAGGAGTTTGACGACTTGCCTGAGGATACAGATTTGAGGAAGGGAATTTGGGTTCTATGTTATGATAGCTTCGAACTCAATCTTAAACATTGGACAAATCTGGTGAAGCCAAAGCCTAAGGGAATTGCTTATAATGATAGTCTTAAACTACCTATCAAGACTAGCGATGATCGTCTTAACGAATTTTGGTGTGATTCTATAAGGTAGTTGGTTAGATTTTGTTAAAATTATTTATTATAGTTTTGTTTAAATTGTATTTGACATAAATTCTTCGTATTGTTTGTAGGAAGTTGATTGATGGTGTATGTAACATACATAAAGAGGGGTTATATCATGGTGGGTTGGGTTCACGGAGTAATTACGTATTTATTTGCAAAAGTCTGAAGATAATTAATATTAAGGGATCTTTAGATAAGTTAACTGATGAACAATGTGAGGCGCAGAAGAAAGAAGATATTATGGACCTTTTATGGATGTTGGACAACTGGTTCGAATCGATACTAGCGGGGGGGAAATGAAGTTGGCCGGAATGTCAACACTTCTTTGATTTTGTCAACCATGCTAAGATTGAGAATTTCAGGTGAGTTGTCTATCTCTTTTGTTTTGTTTTATCTTTATCTTTTTTACTTTATTTCTTATTGGATGTTCTTTTTGTCTTTTCAGCTGTGATGTATTTGTCAAAAAAGTGCTGGGTCATCCGTTTTTGTTAAAAGCTGATCAAAGGATGCGTCTCTTTGATCATTATGACACTACGAGGAATTGTCCAACTACTGCTCAACGTGTCAATTTCGCTTTGGCATTATCCGCTTTTGATAATTTCAAATCCTGGAACTCTACTTCAACCGTTAATAACATGGATGGCTTTATGTTGGGTGTTTATAACCACTCCGCATCAACAAAAAAACAACAAAAAAAGAAAGCAAATTACTCTGGGACTGTGAGCAGTCTTCTTAGGTACCTCAGGAATCTGAATCATCATTATCATAAACATGGTTTGGCTGCTGGTTCTCTGGAGGATGTGGAACGTGGTGTTACAACACATTTTCGTGGGTTTTTGGAGCTGCTTTACAGGCATTTAGAATTATAGTGGGAGGCTGTGTGGTTCGTTTCATGGTGTTATTTTATTTTGTTATTTTTTTTGGTCGAAGGTGTTATTTTATTTTGTATATCAAAGATTTCATTGCATAAGTAGATTAAAGATTTGGTGTACAATATTAGTTTAAGAACTTGTTTGGCAACTGCAATATTAATACAAGTACATGTGAGCACTAGAAATTGTTATCAAATATAGTTTAGTTTTGAAATGGGTGAAGCGCGTGAAACGAGCGAAAAAACAACTCATTAGTCATAACGGGTCGGGTTTGACACGAACACGACCCAAAACCCGCAGCACACGACACATTTGCCAGGTTTAGATGGGTCACATCCATTATTCTAACTTCACACAATTTGATAATTCCTAGAGGAAATGCTGTTGGACTTGGAAGACCCTCTAAAACCTCTTATAAAGCATGATCATATTAATGCCATTAGTGCAATCATAAAGGAGTATGAAGTTCAAAATACATAAAGGACCAGCGGGGGGTATGTTTTTTTTTTTCTTCTTAATTTCGCTTTCTGAAAATCGATTCAGTATTACCACATAAGAATGACCCCCATCATATCAAAAAATGACTACAATAAGAGAGTCATGAACTTCTCATAAATAAAAGGCAACTTACTGAGAGCATCCGCCAGCTCAACAAAAATCTCGCTAAAATCTGAATGATTTTTCATCCTAATAAACAGTCATGTTAAGCCATTTGAATGTGTTACATCCATTATCCTAAATGACTTCACACAAGTTGATAATGGCCAGAAGAAATTCTGTTGGAAGACCCTCTCTAAAATCTTTTATAACGCATGAGCAGTATGAAGTTCAAAATAAATAAAGTACATGTGGCTTTTTTTTAAAAAAAAAATTTAAAAACAGTATTACCACATCAGAACGAGATTTTTCTGAAATAAATCCGCTTTATAAACAGGGAATCAAATTCTTTGTTCAAGATTTGCACCTTATTTTGAATCCTCTAATCAGTTAGAAAGGCTACCTCTTCAGTCGTGTAAATTTTATACATAATTCAGTCTTTAGAAACCACATGATCAAGATCCCAAACCTTCTAAAACCAATAACTAATATATATTGCCTGTACAGGAAACGAAATTGAACTCTACATTCATCAGTTTGTGCAGCAACAACCTGGGCGACAACATTATCAGTCATCATCTGACCCAAGAATCTGCTGCTTAAGAACCTGAATTTTAGCAACAAATAAATAAGATTTTTTTTCCTTTTTTTATATTGTCAGAGATAACTGTGAAACTCCTTGCCGCTGCCAAACATGTATGTTGAAGTCTCGGAAACATGTTTAAGTCATTGAAATTTATTCAGAGATAGACAAGGTTGGGGAGTACCAGGTGCAGAGGCAGTTCCAGTCCCAGCTGCTGAGGTGGCGTAGTGACAGGTGGGAGCAATAACTATGGCATGGGAACGGCTGTAATGTCATATGAGCTGATATTATACATATTTTTCTAGTAAGGAAAAGTTTGTGGCTGCCTTACTTATTTAATTCCTTTATGTTATGGGGCTGTACTTTTTATGTTATATTCAACCATATTAAGTCTTTAACAAGTGTGCAATACTGCGCAGTATATGATCCATTCTGAGATTCAGATCGTGAGTAGGTATTCTGTGGCAGATTGGACACCAGTTCAAATAGAGTTTCCTTGCACGAAGATGAATTTAAGATAAACTTCTTCAGAAAAAAGTTATCCGACGATCAGCCCCCTTATGTTCTCTGCCTGGGTAAAATTTGATTGGGTGCCACATAAAATGGCTCAAACGATCTCAAATTTTTTAGGCTGCTGTATGAAATCAATGGCTTCGTCTGAGGGTACGGATGTACCAGTGAAATCAAACAATTTCATCATTTCTCCCAAATACGGTTTTCCAATTGTTGATTATTAGTCCAGGTAAAAGAATCTACTGCAATGAGTCCAGTACAGTCTTCAAGTTCAACATGCATCAATCAAGTGACAACATTAGATTCATCTAATTTTTCCTGTATAGAAAGGATATATACGTATAAAGAATTTGTTCCCAGTTACTTTACCCCAATAAAATGTCCCAAATAAGAATTTGTTCATCTTTTCGAGGATACATATGTAAAGCCAACAACAAAAAAGTCAACCCAATCCCAGAATCAAATCAAACACATAGGGTAATAAGAAACGATCATTCATGTAGTGAATACCAACTTGAACATTATTGTCATTCCAAGCTAGAATCATTCCACCAGCCATACTATTACTAGAGTACAATTCCTAATAACCGATTGGGACATCATTAGCTTCATCATGCTGCATGGCTTCTATTTCCAGCTTCCTGGCGGTTATTTCTTCTTGTTTTGACTGATTCATACTAGTCATACTCTCCTCTTTTATGGGTTCATAATCCCCGCACTCACTGAGTCAAAATAATGAGAAACCTTGTTACATACAAAACACAACAAAATAAAATGTTATTGATGAAGACACAAGAAACCTGAAGGAAACTTACGGTGTGAAATAGAAAAGAAGTTCAAACCATTCCGAGCCCTTGATGTGCACATAATGAACACTTGAATGTATGGTTTTGATCATACATCTTCCTCCTTCTCCAACAACAATTTGAAACATGGTGATAGTAAGATATTGAACCTTGAGACGTGAATCGCACCATCCAGTCTGGACATGGAAAAAGTCATGATTCCCCAAATAAACCAAATATTGTGTTATATCATTAAACCACGGTAGCTCCGGACGCGCGAACTCAAGGCCTTGCGATATAAAAATTTGGCCTAGGGAATATGCAATACCACCATAATCACCTTTGTCCATACTAAAGGAGAATGCTATAATCTTTGCCTCCCCATATAAGGCATAGATATTGTCGCCTACAACCATGGCCCTCCCTTGAAAAGGAGGGGCACAATAAACAGAAGTGTCTAGTTTCACTCGATTCCAGTCCTTTCTACCCACATGAAAAGCTAGCAACGACACCGAAATTCCCAGAAAATACCAGAAAAATGTTATCTATCTATGTATATAAAGCAAAAGGTAGAGAATGGTGAAACATTCAAAATACCAGAAAATACCATTGGTTAATTCAAACATTAAGAATTGAAATTATTAATTAAATGAGGATAATATGGTAAATTCACATTTTTCATATTAAAAAAATTAAAATTAAAAATAAAATAAGATAATATGCCCTATTTTTATAGAACATAACTACCCATATTATATTTTCTTAATTCTAAAAATAAAATAAAAAAACCAATTGACACATGCCCACTCATGTGCAAAGGGGCTAGTTAATAGAATGGAAACTTGGGCAAGGAACTTCTTTTGTGGACTTCTACTAAAATTCCGCCTATTGCGTGGAATACTATTTACAACCGAAAGACCTTATAAGTATCTTCCCTAGCTAATAATGCTTGGTTCGACCAAAAAAAAAAAAAAAAAAAGCTAAGAAAGCTTGGTTGGCTTGGATTAAGAAAACTACAATTGGTTAACAATGCTTCCCTAGCTAAATTGGGATGGAAAATTATTCTTCTTTTTATAAAGCAATTGCAAAACCCAATTATATTTGCGAGTCTGGATAAGCATTTTAAAATTTCGACCTATTTTATTTCAGGAAATGAGATGGATAGTTGGGAATGGTTATAATATTAAATTTTGAAATTTCAATTGGGTCTTGTTAAAGGAACCCTAAAATTAACTGAGTACACTCTATGATTTAAGTATATCATAATATTTAAATTAAAATGTAAAATTAACTAAGTACATCATATTTTAACTACCAAAAATACCCATATTTTGAGAGTGAGACCTCTTCATTCTTTAGTCTCTGTTGTAGTTGGTTTCTAACCTCTTCAGTCGTGTATGCAGTTGATTTCTACCAAAAATACCCCTCATCTTTTTTGGTTAACAGTAATTCAAGCCGTGTCTTCTACTAAAGACAGACCAATGATGGCTTCAAAGGATTTCTTTTCCTCAGGTAATACATACCAGTAGTCAGTATATATAAAGGAAACAATTTAAATTTCTATTAACATTCAGACTATTTCCTTTTCATGTGTATCTATATATATAAAGCGAAAGGCAGAGAAATGTGAAACATTCAAAATACCAGAAAATGCTATTAGTTAATGCAAACATTAAGAATTAAAATTAGTAATTAAATGAGGATAATATGGTAAAATTCACACTTTTTCATAACAAAAAAAAAATTAAAATTAAAAGAAAAATTAGATAATTGATCATATTTTTATGGAACACAACTACCCATTATCATTTTTAATTCCAAAAAAAATTTAACAATTTATAAAAAAGGCCTCTCACAAGTGCGGAAGCGCATGCGAAGAGGCTAGTTAATTACTGAAATAAACAGAATTTTAGCTAACAAATGCTAATTAAGGCATTAGTCTAAGTGAGAAGACGGTGAAGCAAGATAGAACCAACAGAAACCACATGATCAAGATCCCAAACCTTCTAAAACCAATAACTAATATATATTGCCTGTACTGGAACGAAATTGAACTCTACATTCATCAGTTTGTGCAGCAACAAACTGAACCATGATAATTATATATAGCAAACAAAGATTATTAATTCAATATCCTTAACAAAAATAAAATATAGCAATATCAACAGTGAACAAAAGATGGCAGTAAAATGCCTCAATAATATCTAATCAAAGATGTACGGATTCCCAGCTCTGCTCCTCAAGTTCTCACATCACATTACAGGTTGTTTTCTACTACCTGTAATCCCACCTTCTTTTTTTTGGTTACATGTAATCCCTCCTTCCATCCGCTTTTTAAGGATTATTGAAAATATAATAAATAAATAAAATAGAATACACGTGACAACATTCATTAATTGACATGACATGACACATCAACTGCCACATAAAGTGGTCAGCTAAGGTGGTTAATGTTGTGTGTCTAAATAGCATTACTCTTTTTGTTTACTGAGCAATGAGGTAGAACAATCAATTGTCCTTGAATTTTTTGGACTTGAAAACCACAAGGGTCAAAGTGACCAAATTGAAACAACAGGGACCTTAGTGGTAAAAGTGGAAAACCAGAACGACAAAAAGTGATTTTTTACCTTTTTTTTAAAAGACGATATTCTACTTTAATATAATCTAAACTACGGTAAGGGTAATTCAAACTCGGGTGTAGAGTGAGGATCTCTAGCCAACTTGACTAAAGCTCATGTCTGCTTTTATGTTAGGACTTTTTTGTTTTTGGTAAAAAATGTTAGGACGTTCATATTACATTACATGCTAGTAGTGAATTGATTATTATAAATTATATTAGTTCCTTCCTTTTTTTTCAAAGAAAAAAAATTATAGACATAGTGATAGGATTATTAGCACATCTGTTTAGTTCCCTATAAATGAATTTATTTTATTTTAATTTGTCATGGGCTGTCTTTTAGTCAAATAATCCTCATTTGCAAATAAGTACTGGTCCCTTTTATTACAACAAAGGCTTATTGGTTGGGAGGACTTGGGAGACATACGTATGAACTTTTTATAATGTCATTTTCTTGAGTAGCCAAGATGAAACCTGTGCATACATCTTCATTCTTCTATGCAACGCAAAAGGCAACACACATCACATACCATGTCTTATTTTCGCACTAGTTTTGTGAATGTTTTAAAAGAAAATAGAACTAGAGAGATCAAATGAGATGTATCATATCACTCATGATAAAGAAAGTTTGATTAATTAAATTGAATCCTTAACATAAATTGGATCATTAATTCAAATATCCTTAACAAAAACAAAAGATAGCAATATCAACTGTGAAAAAAAGATAACAACCAATAAGGGGGCCAAGATGGCAGTAAAATGCCTCCATACTATCTAATCAAAGAGTCAAGATTACAGTCTACCTGTAATCCCACTTCTTCTTTTTGGTTACATGTAATCCCTCCTTCCATCCGCTTTTTCTTTTTCTTCTGTTATTAATTATTCCGCTTGCACTCTTGGGTTTTTTCTGGTTTCCTTTTTCATGATGCATTAAGGCTACTTCATGTTTGGCTTCTTCCTGCAAAACCCAATTATATTATGTGAGAAACTAGATCCAAATGCTAATAAAAACACTTATAGGCATGCAAACAATTGAGTCTCTTGATTCATGGTCATTAAAGAAAGAAAAAAAAATCAATTTCATGTAAACACATTTCTTTTACCTCATGCATCAAAGAATTCTCATCCAAAGTGGTGTCATCTTCTTGTTTTGGTTGCTTCATGCTGGCTGCACTCTTACCTTCTTCGGGTTCATAATCCCCGCATTCTCTGAGAGTCGTAATCATCGTAAACAATAAAATCCAATGTACAAATTAATGTTATGATGAAAACACGAGAAATGTGAAGAAAACTTACGGAGTAAAGCCGAGCGTAAGTGTGAACCAATTACAAGCAACGATTTTCACAGGAAGAACAGTTGAATGTAAGGTCTCGATCATTTGTCTTCTTCCTTCTTGAACAATTTGAAACGTGGTGATACAAAGATCTTGCACCTTATCACATTCTTCGTTAGTGCCAGTCTTAAAATGAACGAAGTCTTGGTTTCCCAGATGAACCAAAT